ATACCCTCTGTAGCCATATGGCTGAGGGTATAAAAATTGGATGTGGGGTCCATTATACTGCTATATAAAACCTTGAGAGTCTGAAAATTTAGTTAGAAAATATTCAATATAGATATATTCCTCACTTCTACAAAGCAATAGTAATTTTATTTTTAAATTCCAGAATTCCAGCTCTATTTGTTCACCTAAATCTAAATTGTACCAAACTTAATACCATTTAGTATTTTTCGTGCACATAAGTACCAATTTCGGAAACTTCCTCCATATCCCAATCCTACACTCCGTCGATAATGTTAATTTCAAATTTCAGGATTTCATCTCCATCCGTTCCCCGAAATTCAAATTGTTCTAAATTTAGTACCGTTTAGTACTTTTCATATACATGAGTAAACTACCTCCTTACATCGACTCTACTCCTCAACCTAGATTCCCATTCCAAATTTCAAGTTTTTAGCCCAAACCGTTCACCCGATACGAAAAGGTACCAAATGTAGTTCATTTTAGTACTTTTCGTACACTTATAGTACGAATTTCCAGAAATCCACTGGAATATTCGTCGTACCTATTTCAGTAACCCTAATTCCAAATTTAATAGTTCTTGCTCTACTATTTCCTCAAATACGAATGGGGTACAATATTGAATACATTTAAATAATTTTCGTATTCGAATTTCCAAAAATATATTAATATACATTTAATTTCTTAAAAATAGTTTTGCCTACCAATAATTTACAATATATTAAAGAGCACTCGTTTACCACTTGTAACGATAAATTTGGATATTGAGGGCTACTTCTCCCCACCAATTCGAAATATTACAGTTCTTGGTGATTTTACCATATTTTTTTTTTTTTTTTTTGGAAAACATTGATTGACACAATTGTACATATTGATATGCATGTACATTCGTATAACTTTAAACTACATTACAAACAACATATATTGTTCATATAATTTCTATTTGAAATAGTTTTTCCATTTATTTGTTCTTCTTTGTGTAGATTCTTATTCTTTACTCATAAAGAATATATCAACAAGTGCCTTGAAAACTGAAACAACACCCAGTATAAACATTGGACACAAAAGAAGCTTTAGCAACTCAACCCCTCAAAAGTAACAAAACATGCTCCCCACCAACAATTCAATAAATATTCCTGCGGATTAAAGTTATTTTAATGTTTGTTTGAAAGTGTTTCTTTTTGTCTTTTTATAACACTAATATTTTCTTGCTGAATACGAATTAAATGTGTGAGGCACCACAAAACTTTTTCTTAAAGTACTTTTTGAGAAGGTCGCAAACTTTTATTACCCACCGCCTTATTAGGATGAGCAGCAGCTGGGATAATATCTGAAACTATGAACTGCCATTAAACTCAGGCACAAGTAATGATTATTTGAATGCCATCAACTTCGAAACTGTGATAAGGAAATGCTAATTGCAAAAATAAAGGACAGAACAGACAATTGGCGTACATTGCTGTAATAAATTACTTTAGTTGGACATGTGGCACAGTGTCGTGGGTTGAAAGTGAAACAGACTAGAAATGTGCAGACTGTTTGGCCTTGGTCTACCAGAGTTAAAATCGTGGATTATTAGACATATTTTGGGGTCAATATGAACAACGAACTTTGGTATAAGGTTGTTGATAATTTTTATATTAAAAGTGATATTTTTGATGAAATTGACTTTTTTAATGAAATATAATCAAATGAAGATACGTGAAAATCAGAACGATACAGGATTCCTTATTTTTAATTTTCGCGCCATTTAAAAAAAGCAGAATAAGAAATGGGAACCTCTCTGTCTCGGATGGGTCTCAATAAACATTTGTAAACTTCCAGATAGCCCTTAAAAATAGCTTCAATAAAACCACATTCTACGCTCATATATTTCTTGAAAAATATTCTCAAAATATTAATTTTTTGCTTGGGTTCATTAAAAAAATATTCCCAAAAAATACGTTTTTCTCAATCACTCACTGACTCTCTTGATCCTTGAAAAAATATATTCTTTAAGAATTCCAATTTTGGTGGACCGGTTTTCGTTGAGAAAAATATTCTTTAAAAAATCCAAGTTTAAGGCTCAGGTAATCGTTCAGGAAAATATTCTTAAAAAAATTCAAATTTACGGCTCCGGTAGTCATTCAGGTAAATATTCTTAAAAGAAAAATATGTTTACGGCTCCGGTAGTCATTCAGTAGAATACTCTTGAAAAATTCCACGTTTACGGCTCTGGTAGCCACTGAGGAAAATATTCCAAATGAATCCATGTTTGTGAAGTTGATATTCGCTCAAAAAATATTCTAAAAAAATCCATGATTTTGGCTTTGGTCCTTAAAAATTAAGGGTCGATCCTTAAATAAGTATTCTTAAAAAATCCACTTCGGATTGTCTACTAGTCCTTGAAATATATTCTATAAAAACCCATTTTTATACCCTCAGCCATATGGCTACAGAGGGTGTATATCATTTAATACGGCCAAAACGTGCCTCATCGACCCTAGGTCTCTTTGGACCAAATCCGTTTCAGGACATTTGAAGTCGATCTACCGAAGTGCGTCCGTCTGTTTGCCTGCCTGGCTGGTGCGCACGATAACTATCGAAGGGAGTATCAGATTTGATCCAAACTTGGTACATCGTAATATTATTATCAAACTTATATCGAGTTCGAAGATGGGCAATATCGGTCCACTCTTTCTGGTACCTCTCACACAGAAGGTCACAATTTTCAAAGAAGTATTTTTTTTTTTTGCACAGAAAAAGACAGGATAATCCGATTTTGCTCCAACTCTGCAAATCCTAATATTTGCGTCAGAGCTATGTCAGGTGCGAAAATGGACACTATCAATCCACTCCATCAAGTACCTCCCCCACACAAGGTCAACATTTTGAATAATTACAACGAAATTTTCAAATAAATTTTTTTGAACAGAAAGAGAAAGGATAATCCGATTTAGCTCTAAATTTGCAAATCCAAATATTTGCGTCAGTTCCCTGTCAGGTGCAAAAGTGGATAATATCGGTCAACTCCATCAAGTACGTCCCCAACAACAGGTCGAAATTTTTAATATCCATGGAGCTCATAATACGCGAAATAAACATCCGATTCCATTTAGACCTGGCACAACTGAATATTTCTATCAACACAAGATCTGTAATAAAAACGGTAGAGATCGGTCCATTCCTTCTGGTACCTCCCCCACAAATGGTCAAAGTTTTGAATGACCAAAACGTTTATAAAATTCGAAATAAATATCAGGTTATCTTTATATTTCATACATCCTATTATTTCCACTAACAAAAGATCTGTTGTAAAGATGGGATATATATGTCCACTCCCTCTGGTACCTCCCCCACAAAGGCTCAAAATGTTGAATAACCACGAAGTTCATAAAAAGCGAAATTAAGATCCGATTCCATTCAAGACTTGGTACATCTCAATATTTCCATCAACGCAAGTTCTGTTATAAAGACGGTAGAGATCGGGCCATTTCTTTTGCTACCTGCCCCACATTCAACGTTCAAAGAAAGCGAAATAAGTATCCAATTATCTTTAAATTTAAACATCCAAAACATTTTTGCTAAAACAAGATCTGTTGTGAAGATGATATATATCTGCGAACCCCTTCTGGTACCTCACCCACAAAGGGCCACAATTCTCAATAATTTTATCAGTCATAACTTTCTAAACAAGTCAGCGATTCTTAACAACTTGTTATACCGAATATGGGGTCTATACCAAAACGTGGATCTAAAATTTTACTCAAATGTGTATTATGTCTGCAGGACTTTTGGTATTGGAAATGGTCTATGTAGATCCACGTTTTGGTATAGACGGTACCTCCAGATATTCAGTATTTTGATGATTTTAGCGACATTATTTACCGGAATTATTTCCAATTTTGTATTTGAAGTTTGTAATGAATACTATTGCCTATGACAGAAAATTGTCTGTGCAGGTCCACGTCTTCGTATAGCCCCCATATGACGGTACCTCCCGATATTCGATATTTTGATTATTTTAGCGACATTATTCACCGGAACTATTTCAAATTTTGTATTTGAAAGTCTTAATGGATACTACGGCCTATGACAGAAAATTGTCTGTGTAGGTCCACGTTTTATAACCTCCATGGTACCTCCCTATCTTCGGTATTTTGCTGATTTCAGCTACATTATAAACAAATTTTTTTCAAGTTTCGCATTTGAATATTGTAATAGCTTATGACAAAAGTTGCCTTTGCATGTTCACGTCGTCGTATAGACCCTAATATACGGGTACATTCGGTATTTTTAAGATTTTAACAGAATTTTTAACGGAGTTTATTTTTTTGAACTTACAGCTTTTTTACTTGTTTTTGTATATTATCAATACCAAGATGTCTGAATTAATATACTTGGAGCAAATGTAAATTGTCAATCCCAAAAATTATTTGTACCTTCAATACATCTGAGTTTTACCATCAAACTTCATTCCTTTCGGAATCTAGTATTATTTCCCTTGATATAGATTATTCTTCGTTTATTTTATTTTTTCCCGAAATTTCTTACGCCAACGCTACACTGTGCAACCAATGACAGTAAGGGTTGCAAACTTTGTTTAGAATTTATGGAAGCCTCCCCTCCGCCAACAAACAACAGGCCTGCCAAAAAAAAAAACTACAAGACGTTAAATGATAAACAATGGAAAATATTGTGCGAAAATCTGTAAACAAAACTAGTGAATGGTTAAATGTGGGCAATGACAACTACAGAGCGAGAGAGAGGTTGGCTCTCAATTATTACACGTAGTTGTCATTGTCATTCTCTGTCTCTCAATTGCCGGTGTAAAGCGCAAGTTTAATTTCGCTGCAAAATTTCCCAGTATTTTCCACACAGTTTCTTTTTTTTTTTGCAATAGCTGGCCGAGATGAAAAACCACTGTAACATGAATCGAAAGATTTTTCAGATGTTCCGGAAGGCACTTAACACACATTACAGAATCAGTTGAGTTTCGATGGTTAACGTGTCAACAGAACGGTGTCTGGCATGAGCGCGTTTACGTTTTAAGTGGAATTAATTGGAGAGAAAAAATGAAAGTGTAGAAGAAAAAACAAAAATAAAACAGTGAAGAGATTATTGTTGTGAGAATCACAAAAAGGAAAAATAAATATTTTCAAAAAAATACTTGCTTTGAAATTTAAATCAGATATTTTCAAAATAACAGAAATAAATAAAATTTTGCCAATTCTGTTTTGCCATATCTTTCTGCGAAAAAAGTGAAATTCCCTGCAAACGAAAGGCCAAAGAGCAAAGAAGCACAAAAAAAGGAAAACAAGTGGCTTGAAAATCAATAAAAGTGAAAGTGAAAAGCTGGAAAAACCACAAAAGAAAAGAAAAATCCCTGAATGGAAAAGTGGCAGAATTTCCTCAAAGCTGAAAGTGAAAACAAAAACCTCTATGAAAATCAAATGGAAATGTCAAAGTCTAAACAAGGAACAACCAAAAAAAAGTAAATGTAAGTCCAAATTTGCTGCCTAAAGTTGTTGTTGGCCCCAAAAATAAGGCTGTGCAGGATATTAAAGCAAGCAATTTGGTTGCATAATGTGCTTGCCGTTTAAAGAGCAAAAACAAAATCCCCCAGTGGTACAATTGTGAATGAGAATGTGTCTAACTGTGTACTGTATGGAAATACGTTGGTGTGAGTGTGGGTTTGTGCCGCCGTCTGTTGGTGTGCGTGCGTTCGTTCGTTCGTTTGTGTGCGAAAGGAAAATAAGGCTAAGGACGTTTGGGTTATTATAACAACAAAGTGTGTTTGTGTGTATACTGTGAGTGAGTGAGTTGGTTGGTATCTCCTCCTGTCCGGAATGCCAATGGAACATAGAAAATATGAAAATGTGAAGCGAATTCCATTTAACCTTGCCGCTGCTACGTCATAAAATAACACGCACTCCATGGCAGCAGCAACACCAGCAACAACCACGTTGACGTTGATAAGTAGAAATTCATAAATGCTCGCCATTAAACATTCTCCGCCTCTCATCTCAACAGAGGACAGACAAGCCTAATGTTATCTAAAGACAATAACAAATCATCAGCATCGCATTATGATGTGACATAATAAGCTTAATTATACCCTTCATATCTGAGCGTGGCAGATACATTAAGGCACACCAATACATACATACATGTGATGTACATGCATACATGCCACCTGCACATGATTCATGATATTCAAACTGTTATTACTTCGTGGGTGTGTGTGTGTGTGTTTTTGAAATTCCACAGAACATCACACACACACATATATACACACACACATTCTCTCAGAGACAGGCATGCAAATATCTGACCTTGAGAAAACAAAATGAACTTTTTTTTTTTATTTCACCTTTTCAATGCAATGCATTTTCTCTCCCTCTGTCATGGTTATTTCGTTCTCTTTCGTTCTGCGAAATTGGAAAAATGCAGTTTGTTGTCGTCATAGTTAACGTCATGATAAAAATACCAACATTTTTGCAGAGATTTTTTTTTAAACTTTAAAGTAGGGGCGAATATGATACATTCTTCTGACTGTGGGTACAACTTGGGCGCCACAATTGAGATTCAATTTCAAGATTTTTTAAGTTTTTTTTTTTGAAATTTTCAGGTATTTTAAAAAAAACAAATTCATATGAAATCTTTTCTATTGAAAATTGTAAAATGATGAGTAATTTATCAACGATCAGAGGTTGATAAGGCGCGATTCTTGGAAATTCAAAGTAGAAGGGTATAAAAAGTACAATTGTGGAAAAATTCGCTACATTTTTCGATTTTTGAGAGTTAAGTTTGCGAATTTTTTAAAATTTGCTACAAAGAAGTATATGTATAAAGTCGGTATTCTCACAGTTTTTATCATTTATTTATGAATAACTTTTTGGGATAGAGACTAGATTTCCTACTTTTGCACTAGATCAAATGTTAGTGCATATATGACGATGTGAGAAGTTTGAAAATAGCTGGGGAATAATTTCAAGTTTTATGAAAATTATGATTTTTAAAAATGTTGACACTATGTGGGAACGGTACCATTACTAGGTCAGGTGTGAAAATGGGCAATATCCGCCTACTACTTCTGGTACCTCTCTCACAAAGGATTACAATTTTGAATAATCACAGCTCTGATAAAATATGAAATAATGGCCTGATTGTCTTTAAATTTGGCACATCTCAATAATTCTACCAGCTCTAGGGTCTGGTTTTTGGATGGTATAGATTGGACTACTCCTTCTGATCTCTCCCCAACAAAGGGTGAAAATTTTGAATGCCTATAACCTTTTAAAATGCAAAATGAACATTGCGTTTTTTCGAAACTCGGCGCATCCCATTATTTCTACAAACAAATGAAGATGGTACAGTTCGGACCACTTCTTCTGGTACCTCGTCCACAGCAGGTAAAATGTTTGAATTCCTATAACCCACTTTAATTTTAAAATGAGGATATATAATTACTCTGAAATTTTGCACATCCCAATATTTTTTCCAGCACAAGATCTGATGTGAATATGATAAATCTGCCCAAGGGGACGAAATTTTGGATAATAATAATAATAATAATAATAATAATAATAATAATAATAATAATAATAATAATAATAATAATAATAATAATAATAATAATAATAATATTAATAATAATATTAATAATAATAATAAAATAATAATAATAATAATAATAATAATAATAATAATAATAATAATATTAATAATAATAATAAAAATAATAATAAAATAATAATAATAATAAAATAATAAAAATAATAATAATAATAATAATAATATAATAATAATAATAATAATAATAATAATAATAATAATAATAATAATAATAATAATAATAATAATAATAATAATAATAATAATAATAATAATAATAATATAATAATAATAATAATAATAATAATAATAATAATAATAATAATAATAATAATAATAATAATAATAATAATAAAATAATAATAATAATAATAATAATAATAATAATAATAATAATAATAATATAATAATAATAATAATATAATAATAATAATAATAATAATAATAATAATAATAATAATAAGAATAATAATAATAATAATAATAATAATAATAATAAAATAATAATAATAATAATAATAATAATAATAATAATAATAATAATAATAATAATAATAATAATAATAATAATAATAATAATAATAATAATAATAATAATAATAATAGTAATAATAATAATAATAATAATAATAATAATAATAATAATAATAATAATAATAATAATAATAATAATAATAATAATAATAATAATAATAATAATAACAATAATAACAATAATAATAATAATAATAACAATAATAATAATAATAATAATAATAATAATAATAATAATAATAATAATAATAATAATAATAATAATAATAATAATAATAATAATAATAATAATAATAATAATAAATCAGCAATCAGCTTCAAACTTCGTGTATCTTAGATCTAATATAAATATGGGATATGCCAGTCCACTCTTTGCCGACTTGTACCTGATATCTGGTACCAAATATTATAGTTGTGGAGTGTATGAAACCATTGTGAAGGATTAAAATTCCAAATCGTATGAAACTTATATATGGGAGCTATAGCAACATCTGAACAGCTTTTCATCAAATTTGACAAACTTGATTCTAGACTGAATATTACTCATATGGCACACAATATAATTGATATCGGACGAAGAATTGGTCTAAATTTAGACCAATTCCCACAAATTTCAAAAACAAAAACGATATGTGGAAAATTTTATGGATAGACAGATGTCCATGTTTAAATCGACTCAGAATATGATTCTATGGAGATCATAAAGAGGAATTGTTTGTCTATCTCGTGAGAAAATGTATTATATCGGCTCACTCCATCAAGTACCTACCCCCCAAAAAGGTTCAACATTTTTAATAGTTATAACTCTGATAAATTGCGAAATAAGCATCCGATTCTCATCCAATTTTAAACATCTCAATATATCTTTTAACACAAGATATGGTGTGTAGATGGGGTATACCGGTGCACTTCTTCTGGTACCTCTCCCAGAAGGGAGTCAAAATTTTGAATAATAGTTATAACTCTGATAAATTGCGAAATAAGCATCCGATTCTCATCCAATTTTAAACATTTCAATATATCTTTTAACACAAGATATGGTGTGTAGATGGGGTACACCGGTGCACTTCTTCTGGTACCTCTCCCACAAGGGAGTCAAAATTTTGAATAATTATATCTCTTATAATATGCGAAATAAGCAACCAATTGTTTTCAAATTTCACACATTCTAATATTTCTATCTATACATAATCAGATACGAAAATGGATATATCGGTCTAATTCTTCTGGTACCTCCCTCACAAAGGGGTCAGCATTTCCAAAAACTGTGAAACTCATTAAACACGAAATGGGCATCCGAGTATTGTCAAACTAGACACATCCCAATATTTCTACTAACACAAGACCTGTTGTGAAGATGAAATATATCAGTTCACTCTTTCTGATATCTCTAAATAAATGTTAGATGATCATGCCAATTTTTTTTAGTTTAGACGAAGTGGAACACTTCGTTCAACTATATCTGATAACTCACGCATATTTCAACATTTTCAAAACAATTATCACTCATCTCATATAAAGGGAAGGAAGTAGTCGATATGGTCCAAATCTGGCACATTATTTACTTATATCAGCTTTGGGTCAGATACGCAATGTACAATATTGGCACATAATATTGAAATAAATGGGTTGAGGGTATACATCTGTTGACAAAAATGATTTATACTTTTTATCCTTTATTTTAGAGTTTGTAAAGGGTTCGTCCTACGACTGCAGAACATTTTATATAAAGGTCCAAGTTTTCCTATTGCGCTCATATGACGGTATCTCCAAATATTTTGTATTTTTACGATTCAGGATTTTAGGTAGGATTTGCTTAAAATTTGGTATTTGATGCACATTCTCCATATAACTGCCACCACCGATATTCGGTTTTTTGATGATTCAGCCCCATTTTTTCAATGTTTTTGTCTTTAAAGTTTCATGCTTTGGTATGGCCCTATATTATGATAAGGGTATTTTGTCTTTGTGCATTTGTTTGTAAAATGGAGAAGGAAGCGAGATAGATCCATAGTTACTTTTGACTATCTTCATGTGTACATACGACCGAATTCAGTCTAGAAGCAAAAACATTAGATTTAAAGAAAATCGGTTCAGATATAGCTACCATATAAATGTTCAATCCTATTTGGGGTTTTAATTCCCTCACACACGTAATATGCACTCCACAAGAATGATATTTGGTACCACATAACTTATGAAGTTCAAAAATATATATATATATATCAAATTTTATCGAGATCGGATCAGATTGGGATATAGCTACCATATATATCTCTATCCGATTTTATGTTTATTGTGCACCAAATGGCTAAAATTAGCCCAAATTGACTGAATTTTGTCACATCC